CCCCCCACCCCAATTTGGGGATCCCCCCCCAAATTTGGGGTTGGTCCCAACCTTGGGGACCCCTCCATGGGACCCCCCCCAACTTTGGGGACCCTTCCAGGACCTTGGGGACCTCCCCCACACCCCAATTTGGGGTCTCACCTTGGGGACCCCTCCATGGGACCCCCCCCAACTTTGGGGACCCTTCCAGGACCTTGGGGACCTCCCCACCGTGGGACCCCTCATTTTGAGGACCTCACCCATGGGACCCTCTCCCATTTTGGGGACCTCACCCATGGGAGCCCCCCCATTTTTGGGACCCCCTCCTATTTTTGGGGACCCCCCCCCATGGGACCCCCTCCCTCACCTTGGGGACCCTCCCAGGATCTTGGGAACCCCCCCATGGGTTCTACTACTTTGGGATCTCCTCCTGCTTTGGGGACCATCCTCATTTTGGGGACCCCCTCCATGGGACCCCCCATGATCTTTGGGAACCCCCCCATGATGGGGACCTCTTCATTTTGGGGACTTCCCACCCATGGGACCCCATTTTGGGGGACCCCCCACCAATGAGACCCTCCTGGCCTTGGGGACTTCTCCACTTTGGGGGACCTGGAGGAGATTTGGGGGTCACCAAGGTGGGACCTGGAGATTTGGGGTCACCAAGGTGGAACCTGGATGAGATTGGGGTCCATCAGGGTGGGACCTGGAGGAGCTGGTGGAGATTTGGGTCACCAAGGTGGGACCTGGAAGTGGTGGGGCCACCAAGGTGGGACCTGGAGATTTGGGGTCACCAAGGTGGGTCCTGGTAGAGATTTGGGGTCACCAAGGTGGAATATGGGAGGAGATTTGGGGTCACCAAGGTGGAACCTGGAGGAGATTTGGGAGCACCAAGGTGGGACCTGGAAGTGATGGGGTCACCAAGGTGGGACCTGGAGATTTGGGGGGCACCAAGGTGGAACCTGATGGACATTGGGGGGCACCAAGGTGGGTCCTGGTGGAGATTGGGGATCACCAAGGCGGAACCTGGTTGAGATTGGGGTCCATCAGGGTGGGACATGGAGGAGCTGGTGGAGATTTGGGAGCACCAAGGTGGGACCTGGAGGAGATTGGGGGGTGCTCAGGTGGGACCTGGAGCAGGTGACGGTGCCCAGGTGGGTCCTGGAAGATCTGGAGCTCTGGGGTCACCAAGGTGGGACCTGGAAGTGATGGGGCCAAGATGGGACCTGGAGGACCTGGTGGAGGTTGGGGGCACCAAGGTGAAACCTGGAGGATCTGAAGAAGATTGAGGAGCACCAAGGTGGGTCTCGGAGAAAGTTGGGGCACCAAGGTGGGACCTGGTGGAGATTTGGGGACACCAAGGTGGGATCTGGAGGATCTGGATGAGGTGGGGGTGCACCAGGATGAGTCCTGGAAGATCTGGGATCACCAAGGTGGGACCTGGAGAAGATTTGGGATCATCAAGGTGAAACTTGGGAGAGATGGGGACACCAAGGTTGGTTGAGGTCACCAGGGTGGGACCTGGTGGAGATGTGGGTGGACCTGGAGGGAGTTGGGGGTGCTCAGGTGGGACCTGGAACCGTTGATGGTGCTCAGGTGGGTCTTGGAGGAGGTTGGGGGGCACCAAGGTTGGTCCTGAAGACTGGGGGGCACCAAGGTGGGTCCAGGAGGAGATCAGGGACACCAAGATGGGTCCTGGAGGACACTGGGGACACTGAGGTGGGCTGGGCAGGACCAGGTGGAGATGGGTGACCAGGTGGGTCCTGGAGGAGATGATGGACACCAGGATGGATCCTGGAGGAGATGAGCACCAAGGTGAGACTTGGAGGACCAGGAAGACGGACCCCAGGATGGTTCCAGGAGCTGATGATGGACACTAAGATGGGTTCAGGAGCATAAGGAGGAGATGATGGCCTCCAAGATGGGCCCAGAAGGAGTAGGAGATGTTTGACCCCAAGATCAGTCCAGGAGTTGATGATGGACACCAAGATTGGCCCAGAAGAAGCAGAAGCAGATTGGAGGTCCTTGGATAGGTCCAGTAAGGACCCAGTGGGTGCTGGGACAGGTCCTGGTGACGCCAACGTGTGTGGGATGGGATGGACATCGTGACATGTGGGGACATCCAGCCCACCCAGCTCCTCCAGGATGGACAATCGGCCACCATGACCCCCTCGGGCCACCTCTCCCATGGGGACTTCTCAGGTCTCTTCCCTGCGGGGGAAAATTGTCACCGTGGTCCCCTGGTGTCCAGGTGAACTTCTCCCACTTTCCCAACCCCTTGGAGACCCCCACAGAGCCGGGATGTTCCTCGTGACTCTCCCAGAGAAGAGCCAGGCAGTGACACGGCCAGAAGGTTGGGATGGACCTCAAGGACTTCTCCTTGTCTCCACATCCGGGCAGGAAGGGATGGAGACAATTGCTTGATGCCCTCCATCCATGAGGTCTGGCTGGAGATGGAGCTCACCACCCAGTGAAGTTGGAGAACCTCCTTGACATCCCAGTTCTTGGTGGGGATGGAGCTCACCACACAGTGGAGAACCTCATGGACCTCCTGGTTCTTGGTGGAGATGGAACTCACCATGTGGTGTAGAATTGCATGGACCTCCTGGTTCTTGGTGGAGATGGAGCTCACCACGCGCTGAAGAACCTCACAAACCTCCTGATTCTTGATGGAGATGGAGCTCACCACGTGATGAAGTTGAAGAACCTCACGGACCTCCCAGTTCTTGATGGAGATGGAGCTCACCACGTGGCGAAGAACCGCATGGGCCTCCTGGTTTTTGGTGGAGACAGAGCTCACCATGTGGTGAAGTTGGAGAACCTCTTGGGCCTCCTGGTTCTTGGTGGAGATAGGTGCCACCACCTGGGGACTTTGACCCTCGGAGGGGACAGGGGGCCGGTGGCGGGGTGGGGACAGCGCGGTGGCGGCCGCTATAGGACGCCCTCCATGAAGCTGGTGTCCAGGTGCTGGATGAGGACACGGATGAAGGACATCTCCTTGCGCGTGTTCTCGAAGATGATCCGCGGGTCGTCTGATTGGCAGCGCAGGCAGTTGGGGGCCATCACCATGGCCAGGTTATTGACGTCCATCTTGGTGACGGCCACGTTGGCTGGCTGCACGAAGACCTAGAGGTGGTGGGAGGAGAAAGGTGGAGGTCAAGGGGCTGGTGGGAGGTGGGTGGAAGGACCATGTGGACCTGGTTCTTCACTATGTGGTGACCATGGAGAACCCAAAACCACCTTGAGAGAAGAAACCAGAAGGGTCACCCAGGAGGCCATGAACAGCTGGGGTGGGTGGAGGTGATGGGATTGGTAGGAGATGGATGGAAGAACCACATGGACCTCCTGGTTTTTGGAGGGGATGGGAGTCATCATGTGGTGAAGTTGGAGAACCCAAAACCACCTCATGAGAAGGACACAGGAGGTCACCAGGTGCATGAACATGTGGAGTGGGTGGAAGGACCTCATAGAATTCCTGGTTCTTGGGGGAGACTGAGGTCACCATGTCCTTGGAGAACCCAAAACCACCTTAGAAGAAACCAGAAGGGTCAACCAGGGGCATGAGCTCATGGAGTGGTAAAAGGGAGACAGAAGTGATGGGATTGGTGGAACTCCTGGTTCTTGGCCACCACATAGTGACCTTGGAGAACCCAAAATCACCTCAGAAGGAACCAGGAAGGTCAACAGGACCATGAATTCATGGGGTGGGAGGAGGAAGATGGAGGTGATGGGATTGGTGGAACTCCTGGTTCTTGGCCAGGTTCTTGGTGACCTTGGAGAACCCAAAACCACCTCAAGAGAAGGAACCAGGCCTGGTGGTCACCTGGTGGCCCAGCAGAAGGTGCTGCTCCTACCTGGAGGAAGCGGATGAGGTAGCACAGCACCATTTTGTTGATCCGGGGCAGGGAGTGGACAACAGCGATGGCGGCCTCGGGGTTCTCGTAGTGGGAGATGCACTGCTCGTAGAACTCGTGGGGGATCAGCGGCTCCTCCAGCTCGCGGTACCAGAGCTTCAGCAGCGACGCTGGAACCGGACACAAAGAAGAGGAGAAGATGTGAGATCTTCTTGATGGAGGTTCTGGCCCACCAAACATTGCCCCGAGGTCCTACCGGGAACGTGTGGGTCCTCCAAGCCGGTGGGGATCTTCCATTGGTCCACCTGCAGCTTGAGGGCGTTGACCTCGTCAATGTCACCGGGGACCCTGTGGGGGGAAGAAGTTTTGGTGGCTGAGTGACCAATGGGGACCTCCCAGCTCAACAGCTTTGGGTGTTTCAGGAGAACCAGGAGGGGACATCAGCTGGGCATGGAGCTGGTGGGTGCCACCAAGAGAAACTGGTGATGGTGACACTGTGAGAAACCTCCATGGCCTTGGAGCCATTTTGGGAGCTTGGTGCCACCAAGACCCCACCATGACTATGGTGGCCACTCTGGAGAAATCTCCATGGTCTTGGACCAAGGAGAAGCTGGAGGGACCCACTGGATGGAGCCACCAAGACCTTGCCATAACTATGGTGGTCACTATGGAGAAACCTCCATGGCCTTGGAGCAAGGAGAAATTGGAGGGACCCGCTTGGCTGGTGACACCAAGACCCCACCATGACTCTGGTGGCCACTGTGGAGAAACCCCCATGGAGCAAGGAGAAGTTGGAGGAACACAGGGGATGGTGCCATCAAGACCCTGTTCTGGGAGCCACCGTAGAGAAACTTCCATGGCCTTGGAGAAAGGAGAAGTTGAGGGAATCCAGTGGATGGTGGCCACTAAGACCTCACCATGACTGGTGGCCACCATGGCCTTGGAACCATTTGGGAGCTTGGTGCCACCAAGACCCCACCATGACTGTGGTGGTCACCGTGGAGAAACTGCCATGGTCTTGGACCAAGGAGAAGCTGGAGGGACCTACTGGATTGTGCCACCAAGACCCTGCCATGACTCTGGTGGCCACCATGAAGCAAACCTCCATGGCTTTAGAGGACCCATCAGAGGAGAAGAACACCCAGAAATGTAGATTTGCCCCATTTTGAGACAATTCTTAGGAGAACCTCCAGCTTTGCCACCTCCATGAGATGTCTCCATGACCTTGGGGTGGCTTTACCTGAAGATGCCCTCAGTCTGATCCCCGTTGAGTGCCAGGACCTCCTCGGAGAGCCGGGTCTGGACCCAGGGCAGCTGCCGGTCTGGGTACCGCTCCTTCTGCATGGCCACGATGTCCTGTAGCGAGCTGCCGAACATGGACGGGTTGAAGACGGCGTTCTTGGCATGACGGATCTCCTCAATGTTCGGCTTCTTCAGGCCCTGTAGGAGACACCAGAGGTCACCAGTGGCCTCCGTGGTGGCCGGGATGGGATCTACTTAATCCCACCACCCCCCCTGGTTGAGCTTCATAGGGATGGTGATGGAGCCATGGATAGATTCCGTACAACTCTGTCAAGGTGGTTCCACTGTCCGTCCGTCCATCCATCCATCCATCCATCCATCCATCTCCCATCCATCCATGCATCCATCTGTGCATCCATCTCCCATCCATCCATGCATCCATCTGTGCATCCATCCATCATCCATCCATCATCCATCCATCATCCATCCATCATCCATCCATCCATCCATCATCCATCATCCATCCATCCATCATCCATCCATCCATCCATCATCCATCCATCATCCATCCATCCATCCATCCATCCATCATCCATCCATCATCCATCCATCCATCCATCCATCCATCATCCATCATCCATCCATCATCCATCCATCCATCCATCCATCCATCCATCCATCCATCCATCCTCCATCCATCCATCCATCATCTTGATTCAGAAGTGGATCCAGCCCTGTGGAGCTTGGTGGGACCATGGCCACGCTGGAGGATCTCTACCGATGGATTTTGCCCGGAGGAGGAGAAGCCATGACTCCGGGATGCTTCTGGAAAGCTCAACATCAGCGCTGGGCTTCCAGAAGGTCTCCAGAAGTTCCTTAGAAAGTCCCCAGGAGGTCTCCAGAGAGTTTGCAGGTCTCCTGAAGATCACCAGATGGTCTCTGGGATGTCTTCAGAATGTTCTGAGAAAATCCCCTAAAGGTCTCCAGAAGGTCTTCAGAAGGTCTCCAGAAGACTCTCAGAAGTTCTCCAGATCCTTAAAAGATTCCCAGAAGATCCCTACAAAATCTTCAGAGAGTTCCCAGAAGGTCTCCGGAAAGTTTCCGGAAGATCTCCTGAAGATCCCCAGATGGTCTATGGAATGTCTTCAGAAGGCCCACAGAAAGTCCTTAAAAAGTTTCCAGAAGGTTCCCAAAAAGTCCCCTAAAGGTCTTCACAAGGTTCTCAGAAATTCTCCAGAAAATTTCTAGACGATCTCCAAAAGTCTTCAGAAGGTTCTCAGAAGTGCTCCAGAAGATCCCCAGACAGGTTTTAGCAGGTGCCCAGAAGGTCCTTTCAAGCTTTCGAGAAATTTCCCAGAAGGATCCCAGAAAGTTCTTGGAAGTTCTTCAGAAGATCCTTAAAAGCTTTCCAGAAGCTCCCTACAAGAAGTTCTCAAGGCATGTTCCAGAAGTTCTCCAGAAGGTCCTTAGAAGATTCCCATATGCTCTCCAGGTCTCCAGAAGATCCCCAGGAGTTCTCCAGAAGTTCTCCTCACCACAGACACCACGTGTCACCACCTCCCTCCCTCCTCCAGCCCCCTCCCCAATCCCAGAAGCTCCTGCATGATCCCGGTGGGAAGTGACCTCCTTGTCCACCCCTTCCCAAGCCCACCCCATTTTCTGGTACCTTCTTGGCTCCGGTCAGCGCCGCCTTCTGGAGTTTGTTGTAGCAGTACTTGGCATAAGTGCTGATGGCCACCCCTGCAAGAGAAGACATGCTGGGTGGTGGGATGTCACCTCCAGGACCTGGAAGAGGTCCTGTCCCTTTCCCATGGTGCTGCTCCATCTCCATCCCTGTCACTACTCCCAAGGGGTTTGAGGAAGACAAGGTTCCCCTCAAACCTCACAAGAACCTTGGAGGAACCATCAAATGTGGAGCTCTGTAGCTCTGTGGTGGCCTCATCTTGGGTGGTTTTTGGGGGCCACCACTGCCATGGTCACCACTCCCATCCCATCTGTCTTCTCCAGATCCCACCACTTCTATCTTCAACCCATCTCCTCATCCTGATGTCCTTCAATGAGGAGATGACGCCTATCCCAACAACCCTGCAGACTTGATGGGACCTTCTGGACCATTCCAGAAGATGCCTTGGGGACCTGGTGGAACCTTCTGGATCATCCCAGAAAATTCCCTGGGGATCGGGTGACACCTGCTGGCCCATCCCAACACCCCTGGGGACCTGATGGAACCTTCTGGATAATACTAGAAGAAGCTCTGGGACCTGGTGGGACCTTTCAGACCATCCTAACAACCCTGGGGACCTGGTGGAACCTTCTTGACCATCCCAACACCCCTGGGGACCTGATGGAACCTTCTGGATAATTCTAGAAGAAGCTCTGGGACCTGGTTGGACCTTTTGGACCATCCTAACTACCCTGGGGACCTGGTGGAACCTTCTGGATCATACCCAGGGAAGCCCTGGTGACCTGGTGGAACCTTCTGGATCATTCAACACCAGGTGGCTTCAAATCGTGGAATCATGGAACGATGGAATGGTTGGGGTGGGAAAGGACATTTGAGGACCATCTCATCCAAATCCCTGCCAGGAGACCAGGCTGGATTTTGGGATGCAGCCCAGGAGAAGATGGATCAACGACCTCCAGAAGTGCCCGGGGTTTGATGGGATCAGACGGGATCTGATGGGATCCGATCCCAATTTTTGAAGGACCAGCCCCACCGAGAGCTCCTGGAGGCTCACAAAGTTCATCCTTGGTGTCTCCTGGAGGTTCCCCAAGCCCATCCTTGGGGTCTCCTGGAGGTTCCCCAAGCCCATCCTTGGTGTCTCCTGGAGGTTCCCCAAGCCCATCCTTGGTGTCTCCTGGAGGTTCCCCAAGCCCATCCTTGGTGTCTCCTGCAGGTTCCTCCTCATGGATCCACCTGGGATAGGCTCCCGGGGGGAATTCCCGGGAAATCCACCCAGAATCAGAGGGATCCTGAATTTCCTTCAATCCCAATGGAGAGACCGGAATTTTCCGGCATCGGGAAAACCCAAAGGTGGATTCGGAGGGGATTTTCTCAATTAAATGAATTATATTAATTGAACAATTAATAATTAATAAATTACTATAATAAATTAATAAATAATATTTATATTAATATTATAAAAATAATATTAATGATAAATGTATAATAAATAGAATAAAATAATAAATAAAATAATTTATTAATTCTAAATGTATGTTTAATTTATTAAAATTCATATTAATATTATTAATAAATAATAAGTTATAATTCTATTATACAGTAAATTATAATTAATTTATATTAATTATTTTTACTATTATTTAAATAATATTAAAGTATTATTTTAATTAAATAATAGTGGTTTAATATTATTTTAATATTTTCAAATTTAATTATATTAATTATAATAAATTATATTAATTAAACTATGGATATTATGATACTAATCAAAAGTAGTTGATATAGCAATAAAATTAAATTCACTTTCTTTCATTATTAGCATTAAATTGATGTATTTAAAAACAATATTAATAAATATTAATTGATATTAATAATTAAATGATTTTATATTTAGTTATATATAATATTAAATATTCATCATTATTAACAAATTTTAATAAAGCAAAATAAAATTATAATATATCTTATATAAAATATATAAATATATACTTATATATATTAAGTTTTAAGTTAATTTTATTAATTATAAAAATTGTATTAATAAATATTTATTAATAAACTTTAATATTTAATATCATTATGAAGATCATAATTAACAATAAATATTGCCACTTATATTAGGTAATTTTCTCATTTACATTATTTGTATTCATTGAAAAAATGGTAATAATTAAATTATTATATTAATAAACTATATGTTATATTAATTATATTAAATAATGTGATAAAATCAATGAAATTTATTTTCTTTAATTATTAGCATTAAATCGATGCTTCATGAATAATATTGTATATATTAATATATATTAATAATGTAATATTGTTACATTATATTATATTGTTATATATTAGATATTTAATAACCCATAAGTTGTATTATATTTCATTAATTAAGGTATTAATTATGTATTAGATGTATACAATTATTACAATAATTATTATATCATTATTACTGTAATTATATAGTAATAAAATGGCATTAATAAAATAATAAGAATAATAATAGCAAAATAAGCTATAATAATAATAAGAATAATAATAATAATAATAATAATAGTAATAATAGTATACAATAAACTCCATATATTAGACATATTATAGAACATATCCCTATGCATTCTAATTAAGGAGATTTTAAATTAAAGATAATAATTATATGCAATTATTAGTAATTATTACACTGCTGTAATAATATACCTGCATATAATAGCATATTTCGAATTATAACTATATAATCATAACTTTATCTTATATAATAATAAAATATTTATAAATATAATTATATGAATTATAGAATTATTGTATAATTATAATTGTAATATAATTATTACGTTATTTTTTCTATATTATTTTATATTACATTAATTTTTATTATATAATAAGTATATAAATATACTTAGAAATGAAAATGTAACTGTAATTAATTATAGATATAATCATAATTACAATATAATTATAATTCCAAATTACAATGTAATGAAAATAATAATAATTATAAAAATAATGAAATTATAAAATTATTAGTTATTATTATTATGATAAGTATTACGATTACCATTATTATTTATTATTACTACTATTTTTAATTAATATCTATATTAGTACTAGCATCCATATTATGATTTATTATTAATAAAATGATACTAGTATTAAAACTAATATTAATGCTGAAATTAATGATAATATTTATTACTATTACTAATAACAATGATATTTATTACTATTATGATTACTGTTAGTCTTATTACTCCTACATTATTAATATTGCTATTTATTATTAATGCTTATATTAATACTAACATCTGTATTATGATTTATTATTAATAAAAAAATAATCTTATTTTTAAAGGGATATTAATGCTAAAAATAATATTTATAATAATAATAATATTTATTACTATTGCAATTACGCTTATTATGCCTACATTTGTATTTATTAGTATTACTATTTTTTATTATTAATATTAACATTAGCATCAACATTTCTATTATTAATATAACACTAATATTAAATCTAATTACATGCATACCAACATTAATACTAATATTAATAATTTTGTTATAGTAGTATATTAATATATCAATATATCAATATTATACAGTAATATAATATCAATATATTGATATTATATATTGATATATCGATATTATATATTAATATATCGCTATTATATATTATATATAATATTAATATATAATATAAAGGTATAATATAAATATAAAATATTTATATATTGTAGTAGTATTTTAATATATCAATGTTGTATATTACTATAATAGAAATATATAATATAAATATAAAATATAAATATAAAATATTTATATATTATAATAATATTTTAATATATCAATATTATATACTACTATAATAGTAATATATAATATAAATATATAATATAAATAAAAAATATTTACATATTATAATATATTAATATATCAATATTATATATTACTATAATAGTAATATATATTATACATAATATTAATGTATAATATTGATATTTAAGGATAATGTATTAATATACAATATTAAGACATAATATAATAATATATATTAATATTGATATATTAATATTAACATATTAATAATTAATAATATATTAAATGTTATCAGATACTATTATTATAATAATTAATATTCTTATATTAATATATTAATATAATATATTAATATAATATGTTAATATAAATATATTTTTATATATTAATATATACTAATATTTAAAATATTAATAATAACATTATATAATAATATTTAAAATATTAATAATAATATTATTAATCGATAAATTTCACCAACTCGACCTCACTCCTATTAATTACCCCAATTAATTAATGAATCCCCCATCCCTCTATCCCTGCTGTCCCTCTCCCGTCCCTCGGCTCCCTGGGGAATTCCGGGAATTCCGGGAATTCCGGGGTCCCTACCCGGGATCTCCTCGCTCTGGGGCTTTGGTTTCTTTCGCAATTTGGGTTTCTTCTGATTGGTCCTTGCCAGGATGTGCCGGAGGTGCCGCGAAACTGGGGAAAAACACCGGGAATTCCCGCGGGAAACGGACACCGGGAGAACAACGGGAATTGACACGGAATTGGAATGACATTGAAATAAAAAAAAAAATAAATAAAAAATTAAAATTAAATTGAAATTAAATTGAAATTGAAATGAAAATTAAATTGAAAATAAAACTAAAATTAAATTGAAATTGAAATTAAAATTAAAATTAAATTAAAATGAAATTGAAATTAAATTGAAATTGAAATGAAATTGAAATGAAAATTAAATTGAAATTAAAATTGAAATGAAATTGAAATGAAATTGGAAATAAAACTAAAATTAAATTGAAATTGAAATTAAAATGAAAATTAAATTGAAATTAAAATTGAAATGAAATTGAAATGAAATTGAAAATATAACTAAAATTAAATTGAAATTGAAAATAAAATTAAAATTACAATGAAATGGAAATGAAATTGAAATGAAATTGAAAATACATTTAAAATTAAATTGAAATTAAAATTAAAATTAAATTGAAATGGAAATGAAATTAAATTGAAAATACAATTAAAATTAAATTGAAATTAAATTAAATTGAAATCAGAAAGAAAATTAAACTGAAATTGAAATTAAAATTAAATCAAAATGAAATTGAAAATAAAATTAAAACTAAAATTGAAATTGAAATTATGATTTAAATAGAAAAAAAAATTAAGTTTAAATGGAACTTGAAAAAAATTAAGTTGAAGTTAAAACTGAAATTTAAAATTAAATGGGATTTGAAATTAAAAAAAATTAAATTAAAATTAGAAAACTGAAATTAAAATTGGAATTAAAATTTCTAAAATAGAAACAAATGAAATTTGAATTTGAAATGAAACTGAAATAAAATGTAAAGAAAGTTGAAATAAATTTAAAATTATTTAAAATAAAAATTGAAGTTTAATTTGAAATTAAAATAAAATCAAATTAATTTCATATCATTGAAATGAAATTAAAGGAAAATGAAAAAATTTAAATGGAAATAAAAATTGAAGGGAAATGAAAATGGAAATGAAAATAAAACACTGAAATGAAATTGAATTAAAACATTGAAATGGAGTTTAAATGGAAATGAAAATAAAAGAAAGTTCAATAAAAATGCAAAGTTAAAATATTATAAAAATTAAAATTGAAATAATTATAAATAAAGCCAAATTAAAAATCAGTAAGCAAAGGTTAAAAATGAAGAAAAGTTTAAAAATTTATTGGAATAGAAATAAAAAATGAAAATAAAATTATTAAAGCAATAAATAAGTAAAATAAAATAAAAAAATTAAAGTATTAAAGCAATAATTAAAGAAAATAAGTATAAAAATTAAAGATACATTGTAAATCAATTAAAGCAAAAAATAAAGACAAAAAAATGATATAAAAATGTACATTAAAAATAGAAAAAATGATAAGTAAAAATGAAATAAAAAGAGAAATAAAGAAAATAAAAATTACAGGAAAAATATTTAAAACTCAAAATAAAAGGAAGAAAATAAAAAAAAAAAGTGAATAAAACCACAATTAAAATGACAATGAAAATGCAAATTAAACCAAATGAGATGGAATAGAAAATTCAAATTAAAACAAATCAACGTCGACAACAAAACCAATCAACACAAACACAACGAAATCCCTGGAAAAAACACGGAAAACTCAAAATGAGGATGGAATTCGGGAATTCCCAGGGAAGGGCTCTGATTGGCTGGGGAGGAGTTGGGGGGTGGAGCCTCTCCCTCAGCGCTGAATCCAGCGGGAAATGACTTTGACACCTCTGGTGGGACCAACCCAACTCATCCGAACATTCCTGGGAATTCCCATTGGGAATGCTCCAGCTTCCGTGGCCTCCTGGGGTGGGATCATCTCCTTGTGTCCCCCAGGAGCTGGAGGACACCTCGGAACCCCACGAGAAATTTGGGATCCAAAATCCTAAATTTTCCTGGATTCCCAATCCCACCTCATCCGCGACCCACTGGGAGGGGGCATCGACTCATGGGGATGTCCAGATGGGGAAGGATTTGGGACAACCAATGCCAAGGCTGGAGAGGATCTCCTAAAATTCCCACATTTCCCAGACTTCTGTCTCCTTCTCCGGCCATGACCAAAAACCTCGGGAGATGGGAATCTTCTGGGTTCCATCCCAACACGGGGGGGTTTTTTGGGATCCAAAGCTACTCAAGAACTCATCAGGAGGTGGGAATGATGGTGAAACCATGGACTCACAGGATTTTGGATCCAAAGCTACTCAAGAACTCATCAGGAGGTGGGAATGATGGTGAAACCATGGAATCACAGGATTTTGGATCCAAAGCTACTTGAGAAGGAACATCTGGAGGTGGGAATGATGGTGAAACCGTGGAATCAGGGAATGGTTTGTGTTGGAAGGAACTTCAGGGGATGGGAGAAGTTCCAGGAGTGGAGGTGACACTGATCCCACAGAGGTGTCAAAGCTCATTTCCTCTTGGATCTCCCATTGGATTTCTGGGAAGGAGAAGGGTGGGAAAGGCCCCACAGCACCGGGTGCACCTCCAGGAGATATTCTGGATGAGGATCCACCTTTCCACAAGGACACTCAGCCAAGAGGAAAGGAACCAAATCAGTGGCTTGGGACACGGAATCATGGAATGGTTTGGATTGGAAAGGACCACAAAGCCCATCCAGGGACACCTTCTGCTATCCCAGGCCGCTCCAATCCCCATCCAACCTGACCTGGAACACTTCCAGAGATTGGAGACAGCCACAGAAGCCACCGGGCCGCGGTTCCTCACTTACCTTTGGTGTCATTCACCGGATCCATGTGCCGGTAAATGTATCCTTCAAGGTAGGAATGGAATTTGGGAGTGGGTGGGAAAAAGGCCAAACAAATGGCCATGAGCTCCCAGCCGCGGGCCAGGCTCTCGTATCGGAAGTTCTCGGTGGTCTGCCGGCACAGCTGGATGTAGAGCTCATCTCGCAGCCCCTGCATGCTCCAACCTTTGGNGATCAATCAATGAACCAACCAAGCAATGGATCAATCAATGAACCAATGGATCAATCAATGAAGCAACCAACCAATGGATCAATCAATGAAGCAAGCAAGCAACCAATGGATCAATCAATGAAGCAACCAACTAATGGATCAATCAATGAAGCAAGCAACCGATGGATCAATCAATGAAGCAACCAACCAATGGATCAATCAATGAAGCAACCAAGCAACCGATGGATCAATCAATGAACCAAGCAACCAACTGATGGATCAATCAATGAAGCAAGCAACCAACCAATGGATCAATCAATGAAGCAACCAACCAATGGATCAATCAATGAACCAAGCAACCAACTGATGGATCAATCAATGAAGCAAGCAACCGATGGATCAATCAATGAACCAAGCAACCAACTGATGGATCAATCAATGAAGCAAGCAACCGATGGATCAATCAATGAAGCAACCAACCAATGGATCAACAAACCAATCAACCAGTAAACCAATCAACCAAGCAACCAATGGATCAAGCAACCAAGCAATGAATCAACCAACAAACCAATCAATTATCAATCAATCAATCAATTAATCAAGCAAGCAATCAACAGATCAAAAAACTAACTAACCAACCAATAAACCAATGAACCAACCAACAAATTGATCAATCAACAAACTGATCAATGAAACAACCAACCAGTAAACCAATCAACCAACCATCCAACAAATGGATCAATCAACCAATGAATGAATTAATGAATCAATCAATTAATTAATCAATCAACCAATGAACCAATCAAGAAATCAACAGACCAACAAACCAACCAGTAGGGCAGTCAGTGAAAAAACCCAATGAACCAATAAAACAATCAATCAACCAAGCAATCATCCAGCCAATAAATCAGACAACAAACTGATCAATCAACCAAGCAAGAAATCAATCAACCAACCAACCAACCAGTCCATCAATCAATCAATCAATCAACCAATGAATCAACCAATCATCCAACCAATAAATTAGCCAGAAGCCAAATCAATCAACCGATGAACCAACTGACCAGTGGAGAAACCAACAGACCAATCAAGCAATGAATGAATGGTTGAACCAACCAACCAATGAATTGATCCACCAAATCAATCAATCAATCAATCAATCAACTGACCAGCCAACAAACAAATGATCCAATAAATCAACCAATCAAACAATGAACCAACCAACCAACCAAAAAAATGACCAATCAATTAAACAAGCAATCATTCAACCAATAAATCAGCCAGCAAGCCAATCAATGAAACAATTGATCGGTGGAGAAACCAACGTACACTCCAACCAACCAATTAATTGATCCAACAAATTAATCAATCAATCAATCAATCAATCAACCAAGCAATGAACCAACTGACCAGCCAACAAACCAATGAATGAATGAATGAGTCAACCAACCAACCAACCAATTGTTGCAGCATTCAGAGGGTCTTCCCACAAACCTCATCCTCTCCGAGGAGCTTCTCCTCAATTCCATCATGGCCAAGTGGAGCTGACCCAGTGCCAGCAGCCACGGTGGGCTGTGGCACCGATTGGCATCAGGAGGGAGGGGACTGGTGGGGACAAGTGACAGGATGGACTCTCTTCTCTCTTGGTCAGTGGAGTCAAGGGCAGAAGCTGGTGGCAATGTAGGGGAAAACAAAGCGCGAGTGGCTTTGGGTTCCACCTGTCCTTTGGGGACACTGGGGACACACCCACCTTTAACAGCCCCCAGGAGACCCTCTCTACCCAAAATCATCTTCCAGGGTGGTTGTCCAGCGGCCACAGGAGGACGCTGGTGGCTCCTCCAAGCCATGAGCAATGTGGATGGTCCTGAACATCCTGAGGGACAGGAGATGCTCAGGATTTTACCGTGACCTCTGCAGAGCATCCAGCTGGGAAGGACCCAGAGGCCCCCTCTGGACCAGTGTCCTCCTCCTACTGGAACCAGCACAGCTTGTGGATGTCACCCCACGAGGTGGAGGGACACCCCAACAGCTGGTGACCAGCATGGAGGAGGCCTACAAGGGACAATGGGGATGGACAATTCCATTGTCCTGCAGCCAGCCAAGGTGGCTTCATCATTTCTTCTGTGACAGCCAGGCCAGCCCCACCTGTGTTTGGGGGGCTCTGAGGCTCCATGGCAGGGGAGGACATGCCACACAATCCAGAGGTGACACTGCTGTCCCCACCTCGTGTGGAGGAGCTGCATTGGTGGCCCTGAGCAGAGTCCATGGCTAAGGTGACTCCAGTGCTGCCACGGACTTGGGGTTGGGCTTTAGATGAGGAACAGAAGAAAAGCAGAAGGTGCAAGGACCCAGGAGGGGACAAGGAAGCCACCCAAAGAGCCACCACAGCTGCTGGCAGGAGCTTCTACTTCTTCAAAGAAGTCAAGTTTCTTGTCTCTTCAACAACTCATCCTGTTCTAATGTCAGTATCTTCCCATCGACATGGCTCCACTCCCATCTTGACTGCAGTGATGATGGCAGGGACATGGGATGGGGACATGGGAGCTTCACCCCTCAAAGGACCCAGCCCTGCTGTCACTGTGGCCCCAAAGGTCCTTCAGTGTGCTCCAACCGGGTAAGCTGAAGGTCCATGGGGTTTCCTGGGTGGAAAGACGCAGGAGATGCTCGAAGGTCTCTCAGTTGGCAGCTGTTGGGGAAGTGGCTCTTCCAAAAATTGGTCCATGACCAGAGCCACCAACAACACTCAAGGAGAAGGAAGGAACCACATTGGTTGGGGTCATCAACCTTCTCCATCCAAGGTGAGCATGGTCAGGTCAGGGAGTGACACCAGAAGTGAAATGTGATGGATCCTCTGCTGCCAAAGCCAATAGGAAATTAACTTCAGCCCTAATTAGCTTTAATTAGCACCTAAATGAACTTGGGGGATGCCCTGGCCTACAAGAAGGGGAATAAACCATCAGGCATCAACTGCAAATGGCCATGACCTCCTGCCTGTCCCATGAGGTGACCATGGTGTCACCTCAGAAATTAGGGATTCATCAAGGGAGAAGGTCCTGGAGCCATGTGGATGGGGCTTGGATGCACCTGAGTGTGGGGACACTCCACTGGTGACAATCACAGCCATGACCATGGAAGGGTTTGGGTTGGAAAGAACCTTCAAGATCATCCCATTCCAATGGCCAGCGACACCTTCCATGATCCCAGGTTGCTCCAAACACCGTCCAACCTGGCCTTGGACACTCCCAGGGATGGGGCAGCCACAGCTTCTCTGGGAAATTGGTGCTGGTATCCCACCACCTTGGTGTCCCTGAGGTTGACGAAAACAGATGGGGCCACCAGGACAGAAACCTGGTGGGAAGGAGAAGGAGAAAGACAGAAACGTGGTGGGAGAACATTCCCACCATGTCCCAGGATGTGTGAAGAAGGCATAGGATCACTAATGGCAGCAGCTTTTTCTGCTGGCATGAAGATCCGAAGTGGATCTGGAGCTCTCCAGTTTTGGGTCTGGACCTCCTCGTGCAGCACTGAATCCTTGGGGACAATTGTGCTTCAGGAATCTTCTTCTGCTGCCTTTGGATGCAATGCTCCAACAATTTCATTACACGTTTCCATGGACAAAAACGGAATTTTCCAGATGGTTTGCTGTTTCCCAGGTCCATGTCCAGGGTCTCCTTCCTGCTGACTCCAAATTCTATCTTCCAGGCAGTTTTCCAGGTGGGATTCATCCCCACATGTGGCATCATCACCCATTTTTTGGAAGCCCTGACAGCTTTTCCCTGCCTTTCCCAGCCTTTCCCTGGAGGGGACAGATGGAGGACATCCAAAAACCAGGAGAACACCTGATGGGCTGGAATCTGGGCACATGGGATGCACCAGCTCCAACAATTCCAGGTCTCACTTCAGGGTCTCCTCCAGAATGGGAGTTTGGGGCTGGAGGGATCTCCAGGGAGGGAACAGGTGATCCACAACCCTGGGAAAGAAATCCTGGAAAACTGGTGGCTCTTTCATCCCAAGGTTTTGAGGGATCACCTTTCTAAGACCAACTTCTTTGAGAGACCACCTTGCTAAGGACCAACTTTGAAAGACCACCTTGGCAAGGACCAACTTCTTTGGGGGACCACCTTGCTAAGGACCAACTTTGAAGGACCACCTTGGCAAGGACCAACTTCCCTGAGGGATGAGCCAGGAATGGGCACTCAGGAATCTCCTGGGAGCTAGATCCAGGATCTGCCCCTCCCACTGAGAAGCCACAGCACAGAGCTGAGGCTGTCATGGCACAGAGGCGCCTGTGCCAAATCCTGCTGTGGGATCACCCCAGGGACCAACCAAGGAGCTCCAACCAGGATTGGCCATGTGGTGAAGACCCCCAAAACCGAAACCATTCCCGTGGGCGTTACCTGAGATGGATGTAGGTAGGGCTCGGGGGAGGCCAGGTTGGTCTGGACGGAGACGCTTTTCTCCAGCAGGATCTGGGGGAAGCCCAGCTTCTCGAAGGTGTTCCTCTTCCAGTGCTTGTTCTCCTGCTGCGCCAACGCCTCGTCCTCGCTGAAGGCTCGCACCACTGGGCCCGGCATGGGCAGCGGGAGCGCTCCGTCACTCTCGTAGCCTGAACCGTCCTTTTGGGAATCCCAGCTGCTCCGTTGCTTCATGTGGTAGTGGGCCTGCTGCGCTTCCCACGCCAGGCGCGCCTGCGCCAGGAACGGCTCCGGGAAGCCCCGCGCCGCCTCCGCCTCGGCTGCCTTGCTCTCCGTCCGGTTCATTGGCGACCTGTTGGGTCCCGGCGTGGCTCGTTCCTCACCCAGCTCGCCCAATGCTTCCCGCTCCCCCGAGCCGTCTGTGGAGGAGGCGTTGGTGTCGTGGTTCACCGAAGGCTTCCGGCTTTTCCTCTTCCTGGTGGAGGGCGAGTAACCGGTGGAGGACAAGGTGTCCTGCTGGCTGGACCACGACATGGAGTCCTCGCCCTGGGCCACCTGGGTGCCCGTGGGGCCAGGGCAGAAGTCGGGTCCCTCCATGCTGCTGTAGTCGCCCGATTTGATCTCCAGGCGTTGGTCCCGCACCAGGCAGGGGCTGTGCTGCAGCGAGTAGGAGCCGCCGATGGGGTTGGGGGAATATTTGTGCCTCAAGCCCGTCTTCATCTTGGGGCTGGAGCCCGACTGCTCCACGTAGACCAACTGCCGGACGTATTCCTTGCCGGCCGGGCTGTACTCCAGGCTCATGAAGCGGTCGGGACACTTCTGCTTGGTGAGCACCAACTGCTGGTAGGGCGAGTTGGAGCCTTGCTTGGGCGACTGAAGGAAAGGGTGAGGCTTCCGGATGGGCGATTTCTGCGGCGAGCCAGCCTTGTAGCTCCCGCTGGCTTCGTACTGCATGTCCACAGGAGGCTCGTCGTAGATGGGAGCCTGGTATTCCATGGGGGGCTCCTCGTAGAGCGGGGGCTCGTAGGCGTAGCGGGGCGACGAGGGCTGGGATTCGCTGGAATGTTTGCGGTGCTGGGCTTGGAGCGGCGAGCAGAAGGAATCGCCCCGGCCCAGCAGCGGCGAGCAGCTGCCCACGTGCTCGGCCCTCTTCAGGAAGGGCGACTGCTTCCTCTCCGGGAAGAAGACGGAGTTGTCGGCATCCGAGGAGAAGGTTTGGAGGTTGGGCGACTGTTGGCCGCCCGAGGGCCGGCGGGAGCGGGAGCCCGGTTGGTTTTCCGGGGTGTAGCCGTTGCCTTGGTGGAGGAGGAAGCTGGGCTCCCGATCCGTCACCTTGATCAGCATCCGCTCCTTGGTGCCGGCGTTCCATCGGAGGGATGAGGTCCTGCGGGGAGAAACATCACGGGGGGAGTGGGTCAGAATTCCACCAGAATTCGGGATGGCTGGTCCCAAACCTCCCAAACTACCGCAGAAAATGAAGGATGGATATTCCCGAGCACCCGAGAGATGGAGATGTGAGGGATTGGGTGGGACTGGGTGGGATTGGATATTGGACAAGGCATGGAGGGACGGGACACGGGGAATGGCTTCCCACTTCCAGAGGGCAGGGTTGGATGGGATAACAGGAAGGAATTTTTAGATGTCGAGTGGAATTCCCAGAGAAGCTGTGGCTGCCCCATTCCTGGAAGTGTCCAAGGCCAGGTTGGACGGGACTTGGAGCAACCCGGGATAGCGGAAGGTGTCCCTGCCTGTGGGATTGGATATTGGGAAGAAATTTTCCCGTGAGGGACTCTTCCCTGGCACAGGAGATTTTCATCTCCTCTATCCCTGCTCCAAGTCCTTGGGACACTCAGGAAGAAGAGGAAAGATGGATTTTATGGAGCTGCCCGGCTCACAGGAGGGATCCGAGCTGGAATTTACTGTTCCCAAGACACAGGGAAGCACATCCTGTCACCAATCCCACGCTGGAACAGAAGATGCCGGAGGCACCGTCTGCTCTCCCAGATTATCCCTCTCCAATTCTCGTTTGTTCCCAGCCATTTGTTCCCTCCACCCCCTAGGAAAAGGTGGAGTGAGCTCGATCGCTGAGTTTTGAGGGAAAAATTCCCACAAAAACCCACAAACAATTCCCTGCAGGAGGCTCCACAGCCTCTCCTTGTTTGTCCACAACTTTGTCCTCGCTCCAAGGGATTTGGGAATGATTTATGCCTTCCTTTTCCACCTTAGGAAGAGCCTTTGGAACTCCCGGGGACTTGAGCCTCCCACCAACTTCTTGCTGTCAAAAACCTGGACGAGTTTGGGTTCCTCCACCTTGGTTTGATGGATCTCAACCCCTTATGGATCCCTTCCAGAGCCTTAAAATTCCATCCACAACCACAACATCATGGATTGGTGGAATGGTTTGAGTTGGAAAGGGCCTTAAAGCTCATCCAGTTCCCTACCCTGCCATGAGCTGGGACACTTTCCACTATCCTGGGTTGTTCCAAGCCCCTTCCAACCTTGCTTTGCTCCTCAAAAATCTGCTTTTCCTGCTCAAACCATGGACAAAAATCTTGGATGGCTCTTCTGGAAGAGCTGGAGGTCTTTAATCCTCATGAATAACCTGATTTTTATACACAGATCCCAAGAATTGTGAGGAAGGGAAATAGAAGAGCCACAGAGGATTCCCAGTGGAACTGGACTGGAATTTCCTGGGAATCTGTGGCTGCCCCATCCCTGGAAGTGTCCAAGGAAAGGCTGGACAGGGCTTGGAGCAACCTGAGATAGTGGAAGGCGTCCCTGACCATGGAAAGGGGTTGGAATGAGATGATCCAGAAGTTCCCTGCAGAAATCCACGTTTCCACATTTTCCCCACCCCCACCCAACCCCAAATCCCTCCTAAATCCAGGTGTTTTCACTCAAACCAGGTGAAACAACCGCTTAATTCCCAGCTTTGCAGCTGGCATTAATATTCCAGCCCGCGGCATCTGGCAGCGGCGCAGCCGAATAAAAATCCCCAACGGAGCAGCGGCGCTTCCGTCAAATCGCCTCGTCCCGGCCGAGCTTTCAATCCCAAATATTAAATAACGGGAAGCAATATTCCTGAAAGCTACGTGGATTATGGCTAAACCCACCCCCCACCAAAGAAACCCCATGGAATAAATGGAATTTTCTGCCATCAAAAGGAATCCCAAAAAGGCAATTTTTGTGCTTAAATCACTGCCCACGTGCGGCGCGGCTGCTCCGAGAAATTCAAGGGATGCTGGCATGGGGCATCCAGCAGAAATTCCAAGTATTCCTGTTATTTCTGGCTTGGCACCGGGTTCTCCCTGCTGTTTTCTCCGTGTGGGGAAGATTTTTCCTGCTCTGTACATTTCCATGACAAAACCTCTTCCCAAATCCCTCCGTTATCTCCTATCCAAAAAACCGATTTCTTCAGAAATTTGCATGATTCCCACATAATTTCCATCTGGTTTAGGGCAGGATTTTTCCGTGTTCTCCTGAATCTCCTTCCCTGCTCCAATGCCTCCTCCTTGATCTTCTTCCAAGAAGAAGAATCTTGGGGATTTGACGATGGAAGGGAGAGGAGAAACCTGGATCACTCATCCAGGAATTCCTCTGCTTCCCGATGTTTTTTTGGGAGGGATGTCCCCCCACGCTCCATTTACATATCGTTATTCATGCCGGTGAGAATTTCGACCATCCACAGCTCAAAATTCCTTAAAATCCCACCAAAACAACCAAAAGTACGGATTCCTGATGCCTTTAGTGGAGCTGAGGGGCAGCTCCACTCCATCGAGGTGAGGGAATAAATCACAGCCGGCTTTAAGTGGAATTATTTCAAAATAATATTTTATTATTTTAAACCAAAATTATTTTGTATTTTGATGGAATGAGGCGGCGACGTGAGGTTTAAAAACAAGAATATTTCCAAAACCGACCCAAACCACACGTTTTTCCAGGATTTCTTTCCCTGCCCCGGCGTTATTTAGACTTTGCAGGTGAAGATTAAAATTTAGAGCCGGGATTAAATGGATTTTCCCCTCCCTGGGAAAGGGAGAAAAAACCCCCCTGATTTCAATAATCCAAATATTGGTTTCCGATGGAACGCATCGAGATTCTCCGGGAAAACCAGAAGATCCCTGGGCACCCCCCATCATCCCGGCTCATCCCAAATTCCCAAATTCCCACCGCTCTTCCTTACCTTCCTCCCCCAGCCGCGGGATTTGGGAGCATCTTCTCCCTCTGCATTCCACCTGAGCTTAAAATTCTGTTTTCCGGGGCTAAACTGGGATGGGAATGAGGGAAGCAGCCCGGCCCCTCTTCCCTCCCAGCTGGGCACCGCCTGCTCCGAGCGCATCCCGCTGGGAAATCCGGGGTCAGGGATGAGCCGGTGGCGGAAAAAAACCTCCCTGTGCCTGGCGCGGTGCCCGGCGCCGCTCCGGCAGCACGGAAACCTCCGTGAAAAAAGCGGGGAAAGGTGAGCAGCAGAGCCTGAAGATGTCCAGGCTTCCACCTGAAGCCTCCTGTGATCCCTCTGCGTTTTTCCAGCTGGGAGAAACATCCTCAGGACAGGAATCCAGCCTCTATAATCATGCAAAAATCTCGTGTTTTATGCTGATTTATAATTAAATTAAGAGGTAGGAGGAAATCCTAAAATCCTCCATCCTTAAGGTTTTGCTGCTCCTCACCTGCAAGTAGCGCTGTTCCCAAAAATTTACATGGAATTCTACTGAATTCCGTGCATAGAGATATCCCAGGGCTTGGACTGGAATTTTAAATTCTGAATTTTAAAATTTAAAATCTTAAATTCCTGCTCAAGCCCTCGTTTCTCAGTTTTTGTGGGATTTGGGATTCTCACAACCCCACCATGGCCTCTCCAACCCTTCTTCCACACTTCCAATCCCTCTTCCCATCTTTGGGAGCCCGGAAGCGTCACTTCCTCCTTGGAATTCAATTTTTTTACCAAGCCTTTTGATTGGCTGGAGCTGATTCCTAGAAAAACCAGAACGAGTGAGGTGAAATCTGTGTAATTTGGGAAATAAAATTTGGGAAGAAGGTGAGTGCCAGGATCGAGTTTTCCCAGGATGATTTGATGGATACAACACAATCCATGGGATATCCGGAAAGGGGAAAATCCAGTTTGGTCCTTCCGGGGGAATTTCGGAGCGACGGGAATGTCGAAGCCCAAAGTCTGTTGACATCAAATATTGGTTTGGTGGATGTCCACGACCCCCTGAAGCTCCTCCGCACACAATTCCCTTCTCCAACTAAAATATTCCCAAAGGATTATATCCATCAAAATACCATTAAAAAAAAAAAATTAATAAAAATTCCTATTATTTTCCCAAAACTCTCAGGGATTGTCCAATCCCTGTCTCCGGATGGCGCTATGGGATCACTTTAAGTTCCAAGCCCTCAACACCAAATCTCTCCATAAAAAATCTCCTGTGTTCTGCTGTGCTCCTGTGGCATCGGCACTAATTAACAACCATGGAAGTTGATCAAGACCAGAGGGAGATAACGAGCCATCCCATCCCTCGCCATCCCATTCCCACTGTTTTTCAGGAGAAGCGGGGCCAGCAGGATGGATCTGTCGCCGTTTTCCGGCAGCTGTTTGAACATCGCCTTGGTGGGATGGTCAGGTCAGGATGCTGGAGGTCACGAATCCATAACCAAAGGATTTTATGGGATGTAGATGATGAGGAAACACCAAAATGAACTCGGATGAGCTCCTTTGGGATCAATCCCATCAGGAACCCACCAGGAGGAAGCACAAGACCAACACAAGCGAGCCAGGCACGGACGACACGGGCGCCAAATTCCCGGGAGCCACTGGGAGCTGCTCATCCCAATTAAAGCAATCCCCCAAAAATAGCTTCTTTCCCGAAATCCAAATGTCACTGAAAACAAGAGGAGATCTTTCCAGATTGGAGAGGGAGGAGGGAACGCTGGGAAAGGAGCACAGAAGAGCCTTTATTGTTATGAGGAATCAGCTGGGAAGTACAAAGAGACCAGAAGTGACATTTCCCGAAATAGACGATCAATAGGGAATCTGCTCCCGCTGGCTCCGGGAGCGCGACAAAGAGTTCCAAAAATGGTGATTTTTTTTAGCTCTCGCCTATTCCGAGTGGATTTTGCATTCCCCAGAGCCCATTCCCTCTGCCAAAGCCTTTTCTCCTCTTGGTGCTCTTTTCTCCTCCAGCCTGAATCGTTCGTCAGTGATGGGACACAGGGAATGGCTTCCCACTTCCAGAGGGCAGTGTTAGGTGGGATTTGGGGAAGGAATTCTTCCCTGTGAGGTGCTGGGTTGGAATTCCCAGAAAAAACTGTGGCTGCTCCATCCTGGAAGTGTCTGAGGCCAGGTTGGATGGGGCTTGGGCAGAAGGCAGCAGGTCCCACCACCGTGACACTCCCAAGAGCAACCATCAAGCTCATCTGTTTTTTCCCAAAAGATGGGATTTTCATCTTGTGGTTCCCCAGGGAATCACCGGAGTCAGTTCTGCTCCTCTTCCTCACTTCCAAGGGAACCAGACAATGGATTGACCTCTAAAAATCAGAAATGGTCACATTTATGAACCTGGCAGTTGGAACCAAGCTTAAAATCTGGTGTGATGGTTCCTCACCTCCTTCCTGGGTTTCTCCAAAGCTCCTGCAAGTCTCTTCCTGAATTTTGGGCCTGGATTTACACAACTCTGCCAAGTTACAGCCACTCCCTGAATCCATGTGGCACTAGGACAAGAAATCCGGATGGAAAAGGGCTGAATGTGGCCAGGGCAGAATTTGGACACTGAAGATTCTCATGGCTGGAGCTGAATCCAGCAATTCCCATGAGAGCCAAGAAGTGAAAACAGCTGAAAAATCAAAAATTTTTGTCAAATTACGGCTGTCTTCCAAAACAGAGGTGGCTCAACCACCACAACCACTTCCTAAACCTCTGCAGGCTTCAATCCACCTCCAAAACCACCTCAGGTGCCTCCACGCGAGGTTCCATCGAGCTCCCAATGGTGGTGCTGGGATTTTTGGGAGCCAGCCCAAATTCTCTCCCCGTTTCCCCAATTTCTTTTCTATGAAGTGATTCCCGTTGAGCACAAGAAGATTGAAGACCTCTTCCAACATTCCTGGATGTGGAGGTCTGGAAGAAACTGAGGAAGACCAAGCCAAGGATCCCATGCAGGTGAAGCAGCTGCCGTCCTGCTCTCCTAAAACAACCACAGGAGAAGCGGGATTCTCCCTGTTCATGGATTGGATATCCCAACTCCTTACAAAGAGCTGGAACACAACAGGGAACCTTCTCCAGCTCCAAAACCTGGAATGAGGGAATTGCCACAGCTCTGGAGAACTTTGGTGCTATCCTGGCTGTCAGGAGGAGAAATGGAGAAGGAAGTCCTTAATGTTGAAGATTTTTGGTCTAAAAACCAGCTTGAACAGCCTTGGACCTTGTAGCCTTGGATGCAACCATGGGATGAAGAGAGAAATTTGGGATTTCTTCCACAGACAAGCCGATTTCCCGATGGGAAGATTGATTTTGGATTAGCAGAGAGTTCAACTCCCTCAACGGAATGAGGGCAGGAACGGCCCCAGGGATCACAAATCCGGAGGGAATGAAGAGGGAAAGGGTTAAGGGCAGAGATGGTGAATGATGGAGTTTGGGATTCTAGGGCTTCCCGAAAAAAGCCTTCCAGGCAGACGGAGCACGACGTCATCCTCTTAATGACACCCACTAATCTTCATTATATTGGAAAAAATTCCCCTGAGGAATTGTTGGCTGGGAGCTCCAAGGAAGTGGAAAAATCCTTCCCTGCTCCTGAAGATGTTGATGCAGCTCCTGGGGTGATCCAGGGAGCTGAACCCCAGAGCTGCACCCGGAGGTGGTGACAATTCCATGGGTGAGGATCCCCAGCCGAATCCCATGGGATTTCTCAGTCAAGATCCGGCTTCTCTCCACAAGTCACCTTGATCTCACACTTTGTCCCAACATCTGGGACTTCTCCAGCTTCTCTATTCCCGGCCAGAGGGGATGGAGGAAGGCAGGAACCATGACCTGGGTCTCACCACACTTTCCCGTCCACCAGAGAACCATGGATGAGCTGTCTCCCTCTGCCATTTTCCAGAGGAAAACCTCTGGAATTGATGCCAGACGAGAGGAGAAGGTTGGAAAGACATGCCAAGGCTGTTTGCTTTCAGAACTGATTTTCCAGCTGATCCTGGAACCTCCAGGATCATTTCATGAATGGGGTTTGGAAGCAGATGGATCTGAGGGAGCTGTGGCTGCTTCAGTTGGGAGCATTTGAGGGCTCATCCCACTCCATGATGGAACTTTGAAGCTCTGGTTGGGTTCCATCCTGCTCCAAATCTGTCATCTCCATGGTGGCATGAACCCATGGGACATCCAGAGATCCCCCAATCCCTTGGCAACCTTTCCCAATGTCCTGGAGCATCATCCTTCCCATCCTTGGAATTGTCCCAGTCCAGGTTGGACAGGGCTTGGAGCAACCTGGGATACTGGAAGGTGTCCCTGCCCTTGGAATGGTTTGGGTGGGATTGGATCATCTTTGAGGTCCCACCCAACCCATCCCATGACTCCGTGATTAGCTTTTCCCCTCGTAATTAATCCCATTAACAGGAATTCATCACAAGCTCCGATTCCATCTCGTGGCACTCACAGGGTTAACCCAAAATCCCACCCCACAGAGACTCGTTCTTCCAGAAGGATTCTGGATGTCCACTCACAGCTAATTAAGCAAAGCTGCTAATTAGCTCCTTGGCTGGCGGCGGGCTGGGGGAAGGGTGGCCAGGGCTGCTCCGTGGGTTTTTATGGGATTGGGAAGACGGAGGTGTCTCCGGCGGCAGAGCTGATGCCAACAGCTCACGAGTGCAGTGACACCTAAGCTTCTAATTGCCACCAGCCCAAATCCGCGTTGTCCCTGTCATTGCTCCACATCCCCGTCATCAACAGATCCCACCGGATTCCCACCGCCAATCCCTGTTTTCCAACCAAACAGCTCCGAGATTCCCAAATCTCACTCCTTCCCACTCTTCCTGGGAATTGCATCCACCCAGCTCGCGGGTGGGATCGGGTTGTCCATGGATTCGGGGAGAGCGTTCGGCTGGCGAGGATAAAAAATCCGATTCCATCGCCCTGCTGGTTTTCCCTCCTGGAAAGCTCGGAATTTTTTCCCCTTTCTTCCTTAAGTGGTAATTAATTCAGACACTTCCCAGGAGGTCACTTGGAGGCAGTGAATTCCGGGGAAAGGTGGGTTGGAAAGTGGCCAGAGCCTCCACGGGGATTTTCCGTGTCTTGGATCGGGATGCAGAAAGCGGCACGCTGGGCTGGCCGGCTTGGAACAGCAGGAAAATGTGCTGGGAAAAAGGATGAGGAACATCCCGCTCTTCCCGGTCTCTGTTTCCGACACAGAAAACAAAGGAAGAGCTGGAGGTGCCTCCACTTATCGCCAAGTCCAGAAAATCCAGGAATGCGCGGAAAAAAATGTGCTGGGAGAAGGGATGAGGAGCATCCCGCTCTTCGTGGCCTCCACTTCCAGCGTGGAAAACAAAGGAAGAGCTGGAGGTGCCTCCACTCATCCCAAACTCCAGAAAAAAATCCAGGAATTTGGGGTTTATCAGAGCAACCAGGCAGGGAGTGACTCTGTAAATTCACAAAATCCAGCCTTAACCTCATCTTGGATTTTTGGGGGTTTGAAAAGGGCCTGGTGGGGTCCAATGGGGACTTCTGGGGTTCAGTGAGGACTTGGAGGATTCAAGAAGGACTTTCGGGGTTCAATGAGGACATTTTGGGTTGAGTGACGATTTGGGGTTCAAGAAAGACTTTTGGGGGTTCAATGGGGATTTTTGGAGCTCAAGAAGGAATTTTGGGGTTCAGTGAAGATTTGGGGTTCAAGAAGGAATTTTGGAGTTCGATGAGGATTTTTGGGGCTCAGCAAGGACATGGTGGGGTTCAGTGAGAATTTTGGGTTTTCAATGAAGATCTGGATTCCAAGACAGATTTGGTAGGGTTCAAGAAGGACTTTTGGGGTTCAGTCAGGACTTTTTGGGCTTCCCTGAGGACTTTTGGAGTTCCACAAGGACCTGAAGGCAACACATGAAGGGAAGGGATGAAGACAAGGCTTGGAAAAGTGGGAATAAAACATCAGTGATGTTCACTGCTCCACCCATCCCAACCCCAATCCCGGAGGGAAATTCCAGCTACCTGTAGTGCAGGAGTTGTCCTTCCGCGCTGTAATCCCGATAAATGTCGTATTCCTTCTCGAACACTCCAGAAGGCGACGAACTGGAAAACAGGAATGAACGGGGAGTTACCATCAATGTCTCCTCTAGGATTAATGGAGATGAATCCCATCAGGATGGGATCCACCTCTCCTGGATCTGCTCCCGGGACCTGCTTGAGCTTGGAGTCATGGATTTTTTATTTAAAGTTGTTGGCCAGATGATGACCAATCCACCCGTGGCTGTGATCTCCAGGTTCATGATCTCCAACCCTTCAAAGACCAAATTTTCCCTTAAAACATCTGAGCAGATCCTGAATATCTCTTGGTTTCATCCCACGCTTTCCAAGCGCCGCTCCCGATCTTCAACAACCTCGGATGATCAGACCCAATACGAGAAGAAGAAAATCCCCCCCCCCAAAACCTCTTTTTGCCTCATTTTTATTTAAATCTGAGCCTGCAGAGCTCTTGCTCCCAGAAGATGGAGAAAGTCACACCACCAACCCCCTCCAAGAGACACCACACTTGGAAAAACACGGAAAAAAAAAACCATCTGGAAGCAGGGGATGAAATTTCCCAGCTGATTTTTGGACTTGGTGGGGTTCAGTGAAGACTTGGGAGTTCAAACTTGGGAGTCCAAGAAGAATTTTGTGGGATTCAAGAAGACCTTAAAGTCTCTCCTGTAGGATCAAACCCATTCTTGATCCGTGTTTTTGGCTCCATGCTTTTCCAATGGCCATGAATCCATGTCAAGACCCTCCAACACTTCCCAAAAACCAGGTATTGATCATCATCTTTCCAATATTATCCATCCCCACTGCCAATGAGCACAGAAAAAGGTTTATTTCTGCCTTAACAGCCCTTCCCGGTGGGAATGTGCTCAGAGTTGGTCCCATTTGGAAAACAAAGGGCAAATAATCAGAAAACATCTGGAGAAATAACTTTATTCCAGAAAAAGACCCCTAAAAATCCCCCCACGTTTCCTCGTTAAGGCTCTCTCCTTAATAAAATTCGGATCAAACGTTGGTTTCGGGAGGAAAAAAAGAGGGAAAAGAAACAAATCTTCCTAATAGGATAAAGCTCCAAAATTTTAGTGGAGCAAGGAGGCAATGAAATTAAGCTTCTGTCAAAGCTCATTTAAATGGGATTTAGCCCTGGAATTATGGCTGTGTGGAATTGCTTAATCCCTTTTTCCTCCCCAGCACGTGTGAATGGATTTCCTCCTCCTCCTCCAGGATTCCTGAGAGAAAGGAATCACCTCTGATCCCAGAGCTGTAGCCAGATCCATGGAATTCAGATGGATCCCCAAATCCATGGTGGAATCCAGATGGATCCCAGATCCATCCCTGGGAGTGTCCCAGGCCAGGTTGGAGCAACCTGGGATAGTGGGAGGTGTCTGTGCCCAGGAACTGGATGGGCTTTAAGGTCCCTTCCAACCGTTCCATGACTCCAGGATTCCAGGAGAGTTCAGGAGTTGTCCAAGGTCCTTCCCAATGGATCTGATTCCCAGCACTCCACCCCCCATCCCGTACAGCAGCATCCCTGGGGAAATTCCTGGTGGAAATGTCGGTTTTTCCGTCAAAAAACTCCACTGGAAGCCGGTCACGCACAAAACGGGATCGTCAAACGCAACGGACACCGGAATTCCCTGGATGGGATGAACCAAGAGCTCCTCCCACTGCCATTAGCAAGGTCCACACCCTTCCAGGAGGGAATTCCGACTCCTCCAGATCCCAGGTTTCTGTTCCAGGTGCCAGCATCAAGCTCCACGCGCTCCTCCATCCTTTATTTCGGCTGAGCCCGAGGAGGGGCGGTTTTCTCTTGGAGTTTTCCGGAGTTGTCGCTTCCAAGATCTTCCAAATCCACCAGAGCCATGGCTTGGTTTCCATCCATCCAGCATTAATTATCCCCATCCAAACGAACTCCAGGCCACCTCTGATCCATCAGTTCTGATCCATCTCTGACGAGGTTTCTGCGCAGAGTTGACGAACGAGCGAATCCATCCCAGAGATTCCGACTGGCACGAGCCGGGCAGGGAATCTCGGCAGGATCCGCGGGAGGTCGGAGCAGTGGTTGCACATTCCTGGGAATGGCCGAGCCGGCCGCGCTGGCTTTTCCAGGATGAGCCAAGTTTTTGGGAATCATTAAAAACCACCGGCTGAGGTTCCAGCGTTAACGAGCAGCCTCTGGAATTGGCTGGAGCCTGGGGCAGGATTCCCAGTTAATTCCTGGTTAATATTTAAAAAGCAGCACTGCTGGATTCCGGCTACCCCGGCTTCCCGCAGGCGGGGATGTGACGGAGCGTGGCCCCTACACTTGGCCAATTGTTTTTCCAAGGTTTTTAAGCCAAATCCTTAGGGATTTTGCTCGATTTACAGAATAATTGGATTAAAGGAAGAATTTTACGATGAGGGTGGTGAAACACAGGCGAATCTGTGGCTGCTCCATCCCTGGAATATTCCAGGCTGGATTGGATGGGGCTTGGAGCAACCTGGGAGAGTGGAAGGTGGCCCTGCCCATGGAAGGGGGTGGAACTGGATGGTTTTGAGGTCCTTTCCAACCCAAACCATTCCAGGTTTAAGGTCTTCCCTGGAATCTCCACCTTGACCCTGTTTGTGTCCTCGAGCCACACATTCCCACCCAACCTGGCCTTGGCCAACCTGGAACAACCGGGATAATCTGGAAAGCTCAACCCAAATGAATTCCCAAAGTGGGTGTCAAGGCCTTCCACAAGCATGGGTCTACACTCACTGGATTGCATCCCAGAAATCCCGACGGATAAAATCGCACGCAGCTGATCACAGGAAGCAAAACCAGTTCTAACCAAAAACCTAACCGGTTTGGAAACCTGGTTTTGGTTTTGGAAAAGTCTCCTGAGATCTCCCCAAAATCCTTCTCCATGCAAAGCCAGCCTGGCTCCCTCATTTTCTCCTCACACATGCTATGCTGCATCCTGGTGAGTCCTCACTGGATTCTCTCAGTTTCTTGATAGCCCAAAATGACCTGAGGTTGCCCAGTTGTGGGCAAGGATTAAACAAGGATTAAATCTTCCCTGGACCTTCTGAGGTGTTCCAAACTTTCTCACCTGCCCTTGGGATAACACTTCCCAGCATTCCCGAATCCTTGGGCAGCCGCCGGTTTGTCCATCCCGCGGCTACACCTGGCCTTGCTGAGCTTCAGGAAGTTCTTCCCAACCTGTCCTTGATCCATAGGATCCCTCGGAGCTCCAGGAGCTTGTCTGGAGACAGGAGTGGCTGCACAGATTATTGATAAGGATATGGATCGGGAGAGGAGCCGGGATCAGTCTGGGAGGAGCCAAACATCGGGAATGAACCTTCAATCACCACCCTCCGAGCCGGATGATCCAGTTTTTATCCATCAAATCGTCTCCCTGTCTGGATAAGGGATACATCCAAAGGCATTCCGGGACACTTTGAAGGCAATTTTCCATGAATAAAGATGATTTTCCATGAATAAAGATGATTTTCCATTAATAAGTGTGATTTTCCACTAATAAAGGTGATTTTCCACAAATAAATGTGATTTTTCAATAATTAAGGTGATTTTTCCAATAAAAAGGGTGATTTTCCAATGAAAAAGGTGATTTTCCATAAAGATGATTTTCCATGAATAAAGATAATTTTCCATTAATAAGTGTGATTTTGCAATGAAAAAGATGATTTTCCACTAATAAAGGTAGTTTTCCATTAATAAAGGTGATTTTCCACAAATAAAGATGATTTTCCATTAATAAGTGTGATTTTTCCAATGAAAAAGGTGATTTTCCCACTAATAAAGGTGATTTTCCATTAACCAAGATGCTTTTATACCAATAAAGTTGATTTTCCCTTAATTTTCCCTAAACCACAGCTTACAAAGCCTCCAGCACGAACACAAATTTACGCCTGGCACCTTTATCCCGGGAATCTCTGGCAAAACAACAAAACCTAACGAATTTTTTTTAAAAAAATCAATAAATCCAGCAGTTTGGGTGTTTTTTTTCGGGAACAGGAAGTGGCACCATTCCCCAGCTCTTGGAAAATCAGGGAAAGTGAGCGGCCTGAAATAGCTCAGCTCCATGGCAAAAGCCAGGAATAGAAATGAAATCCCAGCTCCAAATCCTCCGGCTTTAATCGCTGCCCTTCATACTCTTAATTACAGCCCCTGCTTCCGATAAAACTTCAAAGATGGTTTTCTTTGGAATTACGCAACAGGAATTTCGGGGCGGCCGCCGACGCAAGCGCTCGGAGGACTTAGGCAAATATCCGCCTAATCCGGAGCTGCGTTTCGCAACGGGAAGCAGGGAATTCAAGGAAAGGATATTAAAAACCTTCAGGCCCCAATTTCCATCCCGGCTCAGAGCAAGAAATGCCGGATACGAGTGTTTTTTGTTTTTTCCTGGGCAATATTTGAGGATGGAAGGAGAGAGTTCGATCTTGTTTGGATTATGCCGGGAATGTGTTTTCCACCGGTTATCCCCAAATATTTCCTCGGATGGTTCATCCCCCGCCGCCGCCAGGAGCTTCATGATCTCAATAAAAACTCAAGGATCACAGCGAGGACTTGAATTAAGGAGCCAGGAGAAAGAATTTAAGGATGTTGGAAGTCTTTTCCGACCTTAACAATTCCATGGAAAACTCACCCGGATGAGTGGGATGAGACCCGGCACTGTTGGAGCAACCCCAGTGCTGGAAAAGGGGAAAGGAAGTTGAAATCAAAGGAATTTTGGAGTAGGAAAACCTCCCATGGGGGGAAATCAGATCTTGGAATAAATTTGGGAATGCTGGGAGATCCTATCAAAGAATTCCATCACGCTCCCACAATGCCCCATCCCTGGAAATGTCCAAGGCCAGGTTTGGAAAAACCCAAACCGTTGGAAGGGATCTCAAAGACCACGGAATTCCGACCCCTTTGCCACGGACAGGGACATCCAACGTCACTCGGAGCTGGATTTTTGGGTGGGAATAAGCCAAAAACAGGGATAAAACACCACAAAAAACCTGAATTTGGGATCCTTCCCAACCTCCTGCCTCAGGGTTTGGGAAATTGAGGATCTCGTGGAACC